GACCATAGGGCTTATTTTCTCTAATCAAACTCCAAGGAATTATTGATTAAATCATATCATTAAAATTTATAAAATAAAGATTATATGTACTTGTAATATATATATATATATATATATATATGGATACACATTCAACTAGATTTTTTGTGCTCACTCATGTTGGTTTATTTGGAAAAGTAGATGCACAACTATAGCAAATAATGAGTGTTCATACCGTAAACGTAGTGATTACCAATATATATATATATATATACACACCCCATTGATGCCGATTAAGCTGTTCTAAATATTTGCCAAGTGTAGATATATGGGGAAATGCATGATGGTGTTGGCTACTTCATTTTCATAATGATCTCCTTTCAAAGATTATTTGGACATGGCTTGAAACAGGAGCTTTGAATGTTAAGTAAGCCTTAGTGCCTTTCTTTCGCAGCCAAGTGTCAGAAAAAGGAAAGAAAAGAAAAAAAAAAAAAGAAGAGAAGGGGGCAAACAGCAACTAGCATCAGAGCATCGTCAAATCAGTTAGCATTGTTTGACTCCATAACTAAAAGCTAATTCATATTACTATATATTTTTTCCACCTGGGGAGTTTCAATTCAAACCCATTTTTGTTCTGTCTTGTTTGCTAGCTATAGTCTAAGAGAGAAAGAGAGAGATTCAGAGAGAAAAAGATGAGTAGTTTGCCTCCAAGCTCCATAGCAGTGCATGAAGATGGAGAAGATCATGTCAATCAGGTTTCTCAACAACAAAAGGAGCTTGATGCTGGTGCTTTCTTTGTTCTTAAATCCAAAGGTATAAATATATACTACCAACAACATTCTGTCATTACCCTTTCAGCTAATTATCTTCTTTGTTCTTTCCATCCAAATCATTATCATTGCTTTGAAAGATAATCCTCACATGATTAACTTTCTTTCTTTTTCTGAAACTTTTCTCCTTTGTCCTAATCTTCTTCTAATTTCGTTTTACATAAAGGAAATCCATTAACCCAAAAGAGATCGCAGAAGAAAAAGATCATCTTCTTTCCTTTAAGATTTCTCTTTAAAAGCCCAACTCTCTCCTTTTGTCTTGTATATGTAAGTATGTAACTTTTGTGTTTTCAACTTCAATATCTTATCAGAAAGACACAAAGTCCATGAACATGAACATGCACCAAACAAACAGCATGAACATGCACTTAACACAGGTTTATAGCATATATTTGGACAAACTCTTGATTATTATAGGAATTTTTTTTTGGGGGGGGGGGGGGGGGGTTCTATCTCTTTGACCAACGACTTAGTGTAACCCTTCGGGCAATGCATTCAGTCTTACTATTAGCACACTTTGATTAAGTTTCATCTTCAAATATATGCCTATCAGCTAGGTTGTGCTATTACTTCCTCGTTTTAATTTCCATTTTGTTTTGTTTTCATCTTCAACTTGCTAAATTTAGAACTGTGACAAAAATGATTTTGTCAAAGGGAAAAAAGAAAAAACAGGAAAGCTATAACGTATATATAATAGCCAAGGAAACTGCGCAATTTGAGTATATATTTTCTTGTTAACGTGTTCAAAAATTACACAGGATCATGGGTGCACTGCGGTTACCACTTGACAACATCAATTGTAGGACCAACGCTTCTCAGTCTCCCATTTGCTTTCACCTTCCTCGGATGGGCTACCGGATTTCTATGTCTGGTCATTGGAGCTTTGGTGACTTTCTATTCCTACAACTTGCTGTCTCTTGTCCTTGAACACCATGCTCAATTGGGTCGTCGACATCTTCGTTTCAGAGACATGGCCAATGACATCTTGGGTAAGGACCAGAAATACGAAATGATATAAATTAGCTATTCCTATAAAGAAATGATGATGATAGATGAGAAACTTGCTTCGTTCTTTGCATTATATATATATATATATATATATGTATGTATGTATTTAGACAACCCTACGTCCTTCCTCAGAGAGCTGATGAGAATATTTCATGTATCAAAAATTGACTAAATGAGGAAGGGTCGGACTCTGGAATTTAGATACGATAATTTAAAACATTATATGTGATATAACACAAAAATTATATAAAAAAATATGAATATAACATAGGATAAAATTTTAATAAAAATTATTTATGAATTTAATAAAAATAAAAAATATGTATTTATTATTTTTTATGTTAATGTAAATTGTGACATATATAATTTCATATAAAATATAATATAAATACACGAATTATTATTATTCGATATGATATAAACACAAAATTATTTGATCTACTTGGACTCTACCGCTCGAAGGAGCACACTTCATACCAGTTGTAAGCCTTTATCTTATCTAGTTAGGCATGACTAGGGTGGACTATACACGTTTTAATAGTGGTGTTTGCTTGGTTTGTGGAGTTGGTTTGCATGATTAAGGGCCAGGGTCTTGCCACATATAATTTGGTGTCTGCTGACAGCCTGCGTCGACAAGTGCTCTTTTCAATCATTGATAGCTATATATTTAGCAAAGAGTAATCATTAATAACTCTATCTATTCTCCACTGATTCTATATATTACATAGGCCTTTTCCCTCTATCAGTCTGTCAGATCTTTTAGGCTTCGTTCGTCACTAACTAACCTTTACAGTCCTCATAAAATGATTGAAAAATTAATTGAAGAAAATGTGAGAAATCTCTAAACAGACACCCGCTGTTATGGATCCAGTGCTTTTAAAGGACTAACCTGAGTCTACGCAGACCATCTTTTTTGCCTTTTTTTTTTTTTTATTAACAACCATGCACTTTTTATTTTAGAAAATAGAAAACGTGCACTTTATTGTTCGTAGAGTATTAGCTGGGACTGAAAGTAATTGTGACTGCTTAGTAGTTAATCTAAACACCATATTTTTTTAGTTAGTTTGGGTTTTCATTGGGGTTTGAACTTTATTATATCGGGCAGGGCCAAGATGGGGTCGTTACTATATGGGGCCAATTCAATTCATGGTCTGTTATGGTGCTGTAATTGCCTGCACCCTTCTTGGAGGACAATGTATGAAGGCCAGCATCAATTAATCCCACCTTTTTTTTTCTAGTTTTCAAAGTTGCAACTTATTAACTATAGTTAATATTGTTGAGATTTTGATTTGTTTTTCCAATATGGCAGGCAATTTACTTGCTATCAGAACCAAAAAAGAGTATGAAGCTTTACGAATTGGTGATTATATTTGGTTGCTTAATGCTGATTTTAGCTCAAATCCCATCTTTTCACTCACTAAGACATATTAACTTGATATCCTTGATTCTATGCGTTGCCTATAGCGCCTGTGCTACCGCTAGTTCCATATATATAGGTAATTCTGCAGACCTCAAAGTCATTACATCATCAGTTTGATAAAATAATTATACATTATTTTGTATTATTCTTCCAGGGAATTCAACCAAGGGACCAAAAAAAGGATTACAGCCTGAAAGGTGACACAGAAAGCCGAATTTTTAGTATCTTCAATGCCATATCCATTATTGCGATAACTTATGGCAATGGTATCATTCCAGAAATTCAGGTTTGAACTTGTTCAGTTCATATAATTTTTCCTAACAATGAACTATCAAAGTTATAATGATTAAATTATGTTGGAAGGGTAACAAAGTTGTTTATAAATTTGATTTCAGGCAACTATTGCACCACCAGTGAAGGGGAAGATGTTCAAAGGGTTATGTGTTTGTTACGCGGTACTTATCTTGACTTTCTTCACCGTTGCCATCTCTGGTTATTGGGCATTTGGCAATGAATCTGAAGGCATTTTACTCAGCAATTTCTTGGATGATAGGAAACCTTTGGTGCCAAATTGGTTCATCCTGATGACAAACATCTTCCCCATTCTCCAACTATCAGCAGTTGGTGTGGTGAGAACGTGCCTTCCCTTCCCTCCTCTTTTCACTATTCATAAATTTGGTTTATTGGTTCAATAATGTGGCTTCTGTCACAGGTCTACTTGCAGCCAACAAATGAAGTGCTTTAAAGAACTTTTGCAGATCCAAATAGCAAAGAGATCTCTGCCCGTAATGTTATCCCAAGGGTAGTTTCTAGATCATTGTCTGTTGTTATAGCAACAACAATTGCAGCAATGCTTCCATTTTTTGGAGACATTAATTCAGTCATTGGAGCTTTTGGTTTCATGCCTCTCGACTTCATCTTACCTGGTTTTTTCTACAACTTCACATTTAAGCCATCAAAGAGGAGTCCCATTTTTTGGTTGAATATTACCGTTGCAGTGGTTTTCTCTACACTGGGAGTCATAGCAGCGGTTGCAGCTGTAAGACAAATAATTCTTGATGCCAAAACTTATCGGTTATTCGCTAACGTATGATGATCAAGCCAAGGTTATCACTGGCTGGCCTTCTATCTAGTCAATGCTTCATTAAGAAGGGAAAGCCTGCTATGCCATCTCATATTATCATCAATGGTTATTAACCTCATTTAACAGTGATCAAAAGCAATCTTCCAATGACCCAAATCTACTAAATGAATTCAATGAAGCTGCAGAAAGAATCAAAATATTTGATTTAATGCAAGTAATAGAGAATTTAAACCACACTATGCTTGTCATTGAATTTTTCACAAGTTCAGAGCAGAAGATTATCAATGCATCAACAGCTTCTTATTCATCTAATTCTCATACAACATATTTCTAAAAAATCCCTGTATCTCTTTATATCAAGTTCCAAAAGAAAGGGATCTTATGAAATAAGCCTTAGCCTATGGGTTAAAATAAATAAAAGTAATATTATAGAAACGACAACAACAATAAATCCCAAATTTATTTTATTAAGAACCATAGTCAATGGCAAAAGTCTTCCATTGCTGCAGTAGAACTCGAATAAACGGCTCATTACTTCAGTAATGAGCCTGTGTATGTCACTAAAGCAACACCTAAGGAATGAAGGAAACCGAATGTTACTTTATCTCTCAAAGAGCGAGAGAGAGAGAGAGAGAGAGAGAGAGAGAGAGAGAGAGGGAAACATATAGATGATGTACCTTTAGTCCTTTACATGCATCTCAGGGACATTGGCACTGCTGACTGGAGTTATCATCTCATCAGATATTGGCAGTGAGACTGGCGAGATCTGCAAGTTGTTTGGACCAACACTTTGTGGAGAGCTAGGGTTTAAGTTATGGTTTTCAGCAATCACATTATCTTCTTTCTGCATGTTGTTTGGACCAACACTTTCTGGAGAAGCAGAGTTGAAGTTATGGTTTTCAGCAACAACATTATCTGATTTGGCGCTATCTGCTTTCACAGGATCTGCCCTCACAGTAACTGGTGCTGGGGATGGAGTACAGTTCTCCTTGCCATCTGCCATTCCAATATATTGAATGGGAACATCCACCAATTCTGAACTGGCAAGAATGTTGGCTGATGTTGAAGTTCCTGCAGAATACTTCTTTCTGATTTTACGACCGACGTTTTGCTTGAAACTGGCAACAATAACCTGATGAAACCAAATGACCAAATGAGTGTCAAAAGTTACTAACTCTGTGAGAATGGAATGAGTGTCAGATCAAAAGATTGGTCTTTTATGTCCATTTCTGTAATCTCCAACGAAAGCATTTTGATTTTCATTCAATCTCGATATAGCAGATGGCATGTTGTTCGTGGCTTTTGTTGTTCACTGGTTGGCATGAACAACATCTTAACATCAACATGCATGCCATCTTGAGTGGATAAGACTCTTGGGTAAAAATTGTTAAGAGAACTAAGCTTTTAGTTTCATATAAATATAGAAAGGAAAGCTCTTACTTGGATAGGCCCAGGGCCAGCTGCTATTAGTGAACCTAAAACACTTCCACCAAAAACTCGTCCATCGACTCGAGCCAATGAAACACTCAACGGACCATTTCTGGGATGAGTCCCCATTTCACCAGTCACAAGATAAGAACCAGTAAGAGTAAGAATTTCAAACAGTCCCTGCATTGAGGTGTAAAAATTAGTATTCAACCTTTCTTGTTGAATGCTAATTCAGAAACAGCAAATTTTCACACTGAAACCATAACGCAGAAATTAATGTGTATTAAAACATTAAAATCAACAGATGTTATACATTTCTACACAGGAAAAATCCTTTGTGGCAAATTTTCTTTCCAAGTATTATATAACTTGCACATCATACATTGTTAAACATATCTTATCCCAAAATAAAAAACACAGGATTTAAGTGTGAAAGAAGCAATGCTTGGTTGAATATGGAAGAACAAAATGATTAATGAATGAAACATAATGATGAACTCAGACTGCTACTTGCTGTAGAAATAAGAGCCATCAAAGTTCTTTTACCGCTCAACAATGAACGCATTATATCTTTCTAACTTTTCTTTTATCAAATACAAAACCTATGAAACACTATACTGATTAATTAAAAACTGCAAATTTAAGTTCATGATTCTAAGATGACGAAATTAAGTATAGAACTTATGAAAGTGTCGTTTCAGCTTTGGATATATACTGTAACGTAATTATTTATGTGTGTGGACCACACTCAATCCGTAAGTATTGTCCACTTTGACAGAAGATCTTACGGTTTTTCCAACAAAAAGTGTCAAATCCACAAGGCTTTCGGAGAGAACAATATTTTACAGGTTGGTTGGGTGAGAATCTCTACACTATGTCAACCATCAATGGTAGTCAACCATCAATGGTAGGACCATACCTCATACTTCGAAGTTTCAGTAGAAGGACCAGGCTTGAATAGGGTAACACTGGAGACTGCACCACTAGCAGCAAGAATAAAAACTGAACGAGAAGCCCATAGACAAAATGATGTTATCTTACGAACAAGATCCTGTGTCAATAAAAGAAAACTTAAAACACCTTGCAGGGCAGGATAACTAAAAACCTGGAAATTATGAGACAAAAATAGAAAGTAAAATGACCAAGTAATAACTTACCTCCCCTGTGTGCACAAACAGTACATGAGGGGTAAAGCTTCCTCCAGCTGTGTCCATATATCCACCTTAATGAAAGAATTGCAAGTGTGATAGTAAGACATTTGATCAAATAAAGTGCATCAAGCCCCAAAGGATTCACAATATTCAAATTGAAAATGTGGCTTAAATGAAGCAATAGCTCATTTATTCGTTCACCCAATATATATATATATATATATATATATATATATATATGCACAAACAATGGAATTAATGGTGTTAGTCAAGGGTTGCACTATCCACATTCTGTCTTTCCATTAATTTACCGTAGCTATGAACTTCAGGACCCTCCTCGTTAGATACATTTTCCATAGGGTTACCAATCAGTTAACTACATTATCTTGGGTTGGTTTCATAAAAAAAAAAAAAAGTGTCTAGGTTTATGCATAAATAGAGACACAACAATTAAGGGTTCATTTATTTAAATAGTTAGTGAGATTGATGATGATAAGATTAAAAATAACAATAAAATTAAATAAAATTAGATGCTGTAATAATAAGATTAAAATAAATGATGAAAATATATGTTTAGAACACAATAATGGCATGAAAATTTTCATTTTTACATTATGACAACGAACTACCCTAAGGTCATATTTGATATATAAGACAATGAATAGAATAAGAGGATAATTATCATATATTATATTTAGTTTGTATCTAAAAAATGAGATAGGATTGTAAAGAGCATTACTCATCCTCTTGACATATGATGATTCAATCGTTTCAAAGTGAAGATAATTATTTTTAATCTATGAGATTAAACTTACATGTCTTATTATATCCTTAAAAATATATCAATAATTTAAATTGTATAAATTTTAAGGAAAGATAATTTTGACTAATAAAGAAATTATCTTAGCTTAATCTTGTAGTCAGGTTTGGTACACAAAATTATAATAAGATAAGATAAAATAATATTATAAATAAGATTAGATTAAATAATATCATCTTATTTTATGTTTGATATATACAAGGATTAAGATATGATAATTTATTTATTTGTCAAAACTATCCTATCTCAAAATTTATACAATTTAAATTATTAATGTAATTCTTAAGAATACAATTGGACATGTAAGTTTAATCTCATAAATTAAAAAAAAATCATCTCCACTTAAAAATGATTGAATAATTTTATGCTAAGAGGATATTTATACTTATTGCAAATTTTATCCTTCTCTTTGGATACAAATCAAACATAATTAAGGATAATTATTATCTTATCTTATTAATAATCCTATGCATCAAACATGACTTATATACATCAAACAAAATATAGTATAATATTATTTAATCTAATACTAATTATAACATCATTTTTTTATCTTATTATAATCTTATACACAAGACACATTTTAAAATCCAATTATTTATTAGACCACTACCCCTCCGATCGTAATCTAAGGGGTAATAGGAGAAAACTACACCTTGCAATACAATTAACCCCCAAAAGGGTTGGATTCCATTTCATTGAATCCAAATAGGTTCTAAGGCTAGAGGTTGATCACTTACACTATGTTTGGATTAAGGGGAGGGGAAGGAAAGGAAAATAAAGGAAAGTAATGGAAACAAAAAAATCTTTTTTTTTTTGTTTAGATAAACTTTTAATTTAAAGGAAAAGAAAGAGGTGAAAACTCAATAACTTTTGATTTCTCGTGTAGTCTTCACTTTTTTAATACCCTAATTTAAGAAAAAAGCTAAGGAAAGAAAAGTTGAAAAAATTTTATTTTTATAAAAAGACTATTATATCCAAAAGTGCTATAAAATTATAGACAATGAAATGTTATAATTGAAAAAAATTATTAGAATGAATCATTTCTTTTCTTTTTCACTCTTTATCCTAATAATGGTTATTAAAATTCTTTTTCTTTCTTTTATTTTATTATAATTATCTAAACAAGGGGTATATATATCATTTCTTTTCCTTTAAAAACTTTTTTTCCTTTCTTTTCTTTTCATTTCCTTTCTTTTTCTTTATTAATATTTATCCAAACATTGTGTTAGTTCAGCCATCTACTTGTAACTATGGCAAACTTGATTCTGAACGTTGTCTAGCTAGAAATTATAACATGGTCAGTTTATTATCTCAAAGAATACTAGCCTTGCTACATACCAACTTCAAACTTTTTACATATTTAAAAGATACTGCTTTAAGGTTTTAAAAGAGTTTCAAAGTGATATAACACAATTGTAGAAGAAATTACTTTTAGTTGAATCAAACAAAACTCAAAGGTAAAACACTTGCGTTAAGGGAGATAATTAGATTTCGCAATTCGTGTATATATATCATATTTATTTTATATTAAATACATATAAATTATATAAATTATTATGTTACAATTTCTATTAAACATATTAAACAAAAAATACATTTTTTTATTTTTATCATAATTTAATAAAATTTTACTTTTTTTAATATTATTTTTAAAACTTTTTAAAATTGTCACCAAATAATAAAAATTGGGCCAACAATCACTTATAATAAAAGATTATAGATTTAAAAGGTCTTGTTAATAGCCTATAAAAAAAATCTATACTATTTGCTCATTCATAAAATGCTACTATATTTTACCTTAGCCACTACAAATATAGATCACCTGTCATTATTATTGTCTACTATAAGTAATAAATTATAAAACCACTTACTATCTATATATGTATAATTTTAAAAATGATAAGAAACACATAATTATACATAAATCTGGTGTAGATGCACTATATTTTACTCATATAATTACCACTTATACAAATGTTAAATTAAGAATCAAACAACATAAATCACAAAAATTTATAAACATATTAAAAAGCAAAGGCAATAATAAACATACAACTACATCATAAAATCACAAGACTTTATGACATATGCCAAACATGAATCCAACGTTAGAAACAAAACTATAAAGCAAAGATTAATACATAATTAAATTATTTCATTCTTAGCAATAATAACTCACCAATTGAAGCCAAAGCTTGCCATTTCCCGGTACCTTTAGGCCGTCCCTTAGCCCGTTTTGTTGAAGAAGATGCCGTTGGTACAACAAAAGTTCCCAATGATCCATTAATGTTTGGAACACCATTATCATACTTTCTAGGCCTCCCCCTCCCTCTCTTCTTTTCGATAGCGTTTTCACTTCTAGTTGCAATCGAACTTGACCCTTCTCCAAACCTTAAAGCACCTATATCATCAGTAGCTTGAACCTCTTGGCTTTTAGGGGAATTATTTTTTGTATTAATCATAGATTTTTTCCCGTTATTAACAACAGAGTCATGAGAAAGCGTCGCACTTTTCTCTTCCATTAACCCTTTTTAATGCAAAACCTGAACAAGAAAAAATAATGATTTTAAAGCAAAAGGAAAAAAAATTGAAAATGAACACAAAGATATGATATTGCAAAGGGTTTTACTGAGAAAACTTGAAAAGCTAATGTTGGAGCAAACAAAAGGTGTGAGTAAATGTATTAAGTTTTTTACATATTTACATTTGGAAGAGCGGTTTTTCTTATATTTCAAGAATACCCTTTTTAGAGTATTAATTTATTAAAAACTTATAACGGTTTTTAAGAGAATGATAAAATAAAATTGTTATAATACTGTAATTTATTTATTTTACTAATTAATGGAACGGTTTTTTATTTATGAAATTAAAATATATCATTTATTTAGTAAAATTTATGATTATATGAATTTTTTTAATATAATTATGAGATTTCATTTCCAAATATATTAACTAAATCATGGAAATTTATTTATTATTGGTCCGTACAATCCATTTTTAGAATTTTAATTTTGAATTTTAAAAAATAATTTGTTACAGCTGTTATGACCATATAAATAAAATCACGTGATTGATCTTCACTATAAATGATTACAATTATATACTGTACAACGAAACTACTAAAAATGTTAATCAACTTTAATAAATTGGCAAAATATTGATTTTACATAAGCATGCTATGAAAAAGTGTAGACACTCAATTTTATCCCGATTAATTTGAATTTATTTGATCTTTTAGGCACGATTTAAATGTTTTTGTTTAAGTCAGTTTAAGCGTTAAATTGAATTTTATTTGTTTGAACTTGTTTCAAATTAGTTGTTTTTAATTTAATTTTACTATTATTATCATTTAGAATTAATTTAATTAATTGAAAAATTGTAAAAAATATATAATTAATTAATTAATCAAATTATATAAAATAAAAATTAATTACAAAAAAAAAAATTAGAAAAAAATACAATAATGAGTGGCCAATAGCCACTACCAATTTTGTCTGGCCTCTGCACAGTACACAAGCCACTGACCTTGTGCAGCAAGCCAATACTGGCCCTCGCTAGCACCTAGCCCGTTCCACCCCACAAACTGCCAAATCTTCAACTTGTTCCTCCTACAAGACAATAAAAATTAACAGATTAAAAGGAAGAGAAACATTTATCTTCAGAGAAGGTGGAGCACCCACAATAGCCCTGAATTCCAGTCCCAACATCCCCTTTTACCAAGCCCCATCACCAAACCCCTTCACCAAACCATCATAGTCCCTAGTCTCGCCCTTGATATAACCTTGCCATCACTGCCCTTACACGCCCTAAAACCCATGCTTCACAGTCCCTGCACAAGTTGCCATGCTTACCAACCTAGCTCATCCTTCCCTCACTAGAACCAACCCTAAACCGTTCCAACACCAAAGACCTAAAGCTCCTATCTCCAACCCTTGACCAACTCAACACCAAAAGCACCTCTATTCTTAAAACCTAGTCTTTACCATCTTAGCCTCTGCACTTTTTGCTAGCAACCTCACACCTTCGTACGCAACTTCTCACCACCAAACCCTTTTTACCAAGCCCCTTACCAAACCATCCCAGTTCCATTATCCCCTAAAAACCAAACAACCTAGCTCTGCCCCTAAATTTATGTCTTTATCACTCCCTTGGACCCCAAGCACCAGTCCCTTTCGCCCTTAGAGCCTCGGCCTACATCAAAACACTCAGAGCCCCTTAGCACCCTCCTACTTTGAACCCCAACATGATCATTTTCCTTTCATTCGCACACTAACACCTTACACCCAAAAAAACCCTTTTAGCTAGCACTTATCCCGATCACTGAGACTACACCTCGGGCCAACGATAAACACCTATGCCCTTCCCATCCTTTTAGCACCAGATGCCTAAAATCCAACCCCAGAAACCACTCAACCATAAAAAATCCCTAGCCCCATTCCTATCAAACACTACCCTTCACAAAACCCAAACACCACTTGTAATATAGGAACTTGGATCAATTGAGCCTAGTCTAAATGGGTATTATAGGCACATTTTTTTAATTTTAATTTTAATTTAATTTAATTTTATTATTTTTCATTATTATTATTATTATTATGATAATGATTATTATTATTTATCTATTAATATTTTTTTAGTTATCTATTAATATATTTTATTATTTATCTATTATTTTTTATTTTTATCTTTTTTTTCTTGATCAATTTTTGGCTAGAATTAGGATTAGGATAAAAAAAATTAGAATGAATTCGGCTATGAATTTGGGGACGACAGAGTTGGATTGGATTCAAAGTTTGAATCTCAATCCTAGATGGAATTTGGATTGATAAAAATTTTTATGATCAATCCCTATAAATAGATGTTGAAACAGAACCTAAGGACACACGAAAAAGAACACACAGGAAGAAAAAAAAAACAGAAAGGCATTTAGAAAGGTTAGAAGCAATTTTAAAGATTTTAGGAATTTTTTTAAAAATTTTTGGTTATTTTTTTCTAGGAATTTCTAGAAATTCCAGATTTCAATTGATTTTTTTTACGATATTTAAATTTTTCGATGACCTTTCCGGCATCGATTGAATTTTTCGATCAGTTATCCAGTTTTCAACATACCCTTTCCAGAAATCAACCAACCTTCCAACAAACTTTCGACGAACAACCCAGATTCCAATAAAAATTTTTAGAATTTGATTAAATTTCAACTGGAGTTCTTGAGGGGGATAGAGAGAGAGAAAAAGGGAGTAGAGAGAGAGGGAGAAAGAGAATTCTGCTGAAAAAAGACTAAAATTTATCATTTATAGTACAAAAAAATGACGTCGTTTTGAGTTTAAAAAAAACTCGAGATCAACGTGTTTTCCATTCGACGATTCGACCTGCAGCGTAACCTGCTTTCGACCCACGCTTCAGCCATCAAATCGAGTCGAGCTGATTCTGTTAGAGCCACATTTTTTAGTCATTTTTCTTCCTCTAGCCGAGCCGATTCAAGGTTTATTTTATTTTATTTATTATTATTTTTTTAATTTAGAATTATTTGGTATTCTTTAATTTTAATCTTAATTTTATTTTTATTTTTATTTTTTTCTTTCTTTTCAATAATTTTTTTCTAAAAAAATAAAAATTTTCAAAAAAAAATATTTTGAGGAAAAGTTGAAAGTATCAATTTTTCTTAAAGATAAATTTTAAAAATATATATTTTTAAAGAAAAATTGATTGTATCAATTTCCTTTAAACACAAAAAGTTTTTGTTTTTTAAGGAAAAGTTTAAAGTATCAATTTTTCTCAAAATTTATATATTTTTGAGAAAAAGTTGGAAGTACCAATTTTTCTTAAAAATAAAAATTATCAAGAAAAATATTTTAAGAAAAAATTGAAAGTATTAATTTTCTTTGTACAAAAGCAATGAGTTCTTTAAAAAAAACAGATAAAAAGAAAAGGATTTGTATCAAAAAGTTGAATCATTATTCCTTTTTGTTTTGTTTTGTTTTATTTTATTTCTTTTTTTCTTTCTTGAATTTTTTTAAATGTTAAATAATCTGACGATAGAGTCTTTGTAAGTAAAACAGTAGTTTTCTTGCAACTCTTGAGGTGATGAGATTTTTTTAATTTTCTGCAAAAGTATTAGAGTTAATTAAGAATAATTTTTAATAATTAATTACTTGGTAAAATTTTTAAGGCTTATTGGATAACATGAATTTGAGTGATACCATCTTTCGATGGGCGTTGGAGAATGCTATAACCTTTCTCACTCGTAACCAAACTTTCAAACCCTATTCTAGTTAATAGATCTGAACCTATTTTTTTAGGGACCCTTAGTCGAGCTTAGGTGTTCTTTGAAATGATAGATTCCTTAGGTGGCCAATCGCACCTAAATAAAAAAGATTAGTGGTGACTCTTAAAGTCAATATCTAGCAATAAATCCTCGGATCTAGAAGTTATAACAATTTGGTGACTCCGCTAGAGACACCACTGAGAGTCAGGCCAGCAAATAAATTTGTGTTATCCAAAAGCCTAATAAAATTTTTGTATAGATTTTTTTATTCATTCATATTTATTTACTTTCTTAATTCTGTCATTCATATGCATGTGTATAACATAAGCTTTATACCCAAGCTCCGTCTCTCTATGAGGGAGTAAAGTACCTATTACTTTCGTGAGGTTTAATGCATCCACAGTGGCTAACGAAATACTCTCACTCAAATTGAACCTTTTTCGTTTGTAACCTGTAATGGATAAGGATTAAGGTGCCTTACTAGTTTGTAATGGACAATGATGTAGGAAACAATTTGAGAACCTCTAGACTTTTAACCTTGAACCATATATAGTGAACTTTAAGAATGCTTAACCTATAGATAGAGCCATCTCCCTCCTTTTAGAATTGACCAAAAGCATAGGGTTCATTCTTTTTATTTTATGTGATGTTTAATTTACTTAGTTATTTATTTATTTCTCCTTATTTGGCATACTAACATTTTTCTTATTTTTTTGCATTGGTTCATGCTCATATCATAAAGCTCTCCATCTGTATTAGCTTATTGTGAGCCACCCAATGAAGTAAAAGTCTAGTAAAAAAAGATTTAACTAAAGATAGAGGATTGTTTACCAATCGACTATGATTTTACCCTATCTCAAAAAATATCTATCATCTTCAAACAAAATAATCTAGAGGATTTGGTTGATATATGAAAGAATATGGCCCAGCTAAACAAGAGAAGTTTTGCCAAAGACATAGGCATATAGCACACCTTCTCGCAGTAAGTGTCGATAATCAACTAATTAAGGCTAAGCTGCATCGTAATTCTGGGATCCTGCATACAAGTGTTTCATCTTTAATGAAGTTGATATAACATCAACCATCAAAGAATATTCAACTTTGTTAGGCTTGCACCTCAAGGTTTCTAACAAGATATATGTCAAAAAATATAAATAAGGATTCCATAAAGATTTGGCTCATCTCATAAGGATAGATAAAGAGATTGTGGATTCACATACAAAGAAAAAACAAGAACAGGTTTGCCTACCTTTGAAG